GTATTCATATGTTTTATAAATTCTGAGCAATTTCGTTATGCTTCAGATCTGATATGTCCCCCAAAAGCTTATATGTTCAGAGGTGGGGCTTTTGAAAGGTGATTGGATCATGGGGGTGTTATGGATTGATTCATTGATGAGTTCATAGCTAGGTGTGCTGTGAGGAGGGCGGGCCTGCTGGGAAGAGGCATGTCACTGGGCGTGTGCCCTTGAAGGGTATGTTTTCTACCCAGCTCCTCCTTTTTCTTTTCTTTTGCTTTCTGGCTGCATGAGGTAAGCAGCTGTCCTTTACTTTCCCCTTCCAACCACGCCATTTCTGCCTGGGAGCCAGCTTCCATGAGCTGGATACCCTGAATCATGAGCCGAGTTCAACCTCTCCTCCTTTAAGTCGTGTGTTCCAGGTATGTCCCAGAGGTGAGAAAGCTAACTCATACACATTATTAGTCTTTCTCTTCAGATATTGCCTCTTCTCACTCTAGTTTTGCCTTCTAGAACTCATTTTATACTTGGACATTTTTCATGTTTCCATATCCTTTATTTATTTATTATTATTATTATTATTATTATTATTATTATTATTTTTGGTGGTACCAGGGATCAAACTCAGGACCTTGTGCTTGCCAGGCAAGCACTTATTCCACTGAGTTATCTCCCCAACCCCCTAGTTTCCATATCCTTCAATCTTCTATTTTCCATACTTTCTCTCTGTTTAGAAGCTTGGATAATTTCTTCTGACCTATCTGCCCTATTTTCCCTAAGTCTTCTCATTATCAAATTTGTTTTTAATTTCAAAGGCTAAAATTTTGAATTTCTTTTTTTAATTATTTTTGTTTATTTATTTATTTTTAGTGTGTTTGGTTGTTGCAGGGTCTCACTATGCAGCTTGGACTCATAGTGATCCTCCTGTTTTCAGCCTCCCCCGCACAGGTGGGGCTGGCATGGCATACGGTGCTGGGGATCGAACTTTGGTCCCTGCACTTGCCTAAGTTTGCCTAAGCAGGCATTTCAGTCTGCTGAGCTGTCTTGCCCAGCCCTAAGATTTTGATTTTCCATAAATTGTTTGCCACTTTCAAAATCATGTGTGTATTTATTTGGTAATGCCTTTCTTTTTTCCCCAATTTTTCGTTTTTAATCTGATACTTTGGGGTCTAATTTTGTGGTTTGTCATTCCTGGGGATGCTTGATCACTGTGGCATCCTTTTAATTTTGTATTCTTTTTTTTTTTTTTTTTTTTTTCCAGTACTGGGGATTGAACTGAGGACCCTGCACTTGCCAGGCAAGTGCTTATTCTACTGAGCTATCTCCCCAGCCCCTAATTTGTATTCTTAGCTCATTGATAGGACAAAGTTACCTGTGGCCTAGGTTAAAGGTACAATCCTTCTTGAGATATGTCATTTGTCTCTGAGTGTGGCCACTCAGAGAATGTTTTGTGTGAATGTCTCAGCTTTGGGCCACTAGGACACACGTAGTCGAAATCTGAACCTACAGCTCAGTTGTGTGGGGGCTGGAAGGGGGTACCCCAAAGTGTAAGCCTCAGAAGCAAAATTTTTCTCTGCCTTCCTTCCCTTCTTTCTCTCCTTATTTTCCCTCAGACAAACCTTAGAAACTAGAATTTCTCTTTCCCAGAGTAGGTTGTAGAAAACACAATCCCTTCCCTCAAAGCCAACCAGAGAGCCTAGAAACATTATTTATCTTTCCCACCCTACTTTTCAGCCTAGAAGCTGCCCAAAAATAAGTGCTCTGACCTACTACCTTGTTTCATAGTAGGTGCTAAAAACCTCCATTCCAGAAAGGGTTCTGCCTAGCCAGGGAGGAAGGAATGCTGCACAGTGAGGCCCAGAAGGCCTGAAACAGACACGCCTCATGGAGTCACTCCATTCAGTCTGTTAGCAGCATTAGCTTAGACCTTTTGTTTTAATCCTATTTCAACATTCCTGTCCTGGTTACTTGATCTAATCATAAAGATGGATAGTTCAGTCTGAGTCTTTGGGTCTTTAATCTGAAGGCTCCCCTGTCTGATAAAATTATGACCAAATACCTGCAGCTAGCTAGGTGCGGTGGCACACACCTCTAATCCCAGCATTCTGTGAGGCTAAGGTCAGCTGATCACAAATTCAAGCCCAGCCTGGGCCACTTCTGACCTAAGAAGACCCTATTTCAAAGGAAAGGAAGTGAGATGAGGTGAAATGAAATGTTTTGAGGATGTAGTTCAGTGCAAAGGCCCTGGGTTCAATCCCCAGTAACAAAATAAACACCCTTCCCCCCAAAAAACTATGACCAAATATATGTTTGTTTTCCTTTTGTTGACTTGTCTTTGTTATAGGGGTGCTGTTCATGGCTCTTCTGGTGGGCAGGAAAGGGGTCATCCATTTTCTACCCTTATACCTATTACAAATTTTCAGAGGTGTTTTTTTCTCATGTAGGGCCTACACCAAAAAAAAAAAAAGACATATTTCTGTCACTTTCTGTGAGGATGGATAGGCTTCTTTTTTTCCTGGCCCATCGTTTCCCTGGGGACCCCAGTTTATGACGCTTGTCTCCAAATTGGCTGAGACTGGCCAAGCTTTGTCCCGTGCCCGCCCCTCCATGCCTGGCCACTGCTGCATGAGCTCAGCTGCTCCCTGCTCTGGTTCAGTTCCCCCCAGTTTGGTCCTCAAGATTTCCTTTATCCCCTTCAAAGTTCTGTTGTGCGGTGAAAGGGAAGTGTGTTACAGCTGCTATGGTGGCTCTAAGTGGAAGTTAGGAGATTTTCCAGGTCGTTCTGTTCACACTAATAAACTTTGTAGTTTTTAAATTTAGAAATAAAGGTGTAGTGAGAGTATTAGAGAAGAAAGTACAGCTAGTAAGGTGAGGGTGGGAGGAACAAGAAGGGTGAATGTTGGAGGATGGAGGGGCCCAGCAGGCACAAAAGTAGAAGGATGAAACAACTCTGCAGGCATGGAGAAAAGTGCTGCCCTCTCCAGCTGGAGGGGAAGATGAGGTTGAATGGGCCGCTGAGCAGCAGGGAGTTACAAAGTCTTACAACAGGGACCAAGGTGATTGCAAGCTTTGTTTCAGGGAGTTTCGCCTGGAAGCAAGTCCATGATGAATGTGTTTGGCTGGCAGCGGAGGAGAGAGGCTTGGATTTGGAGGAGGGTCTTGGGGCCTGTGAAAATAGCCCAAGTGATAGGTTATACATCTTCAGGGGTAGTGGTGGGAGGAGCTACTGGTAGAGAGGGTAAGAGGGACTGAGCTGAACCAGATAAAGCAATCTGGGCCACAAGCCGGGGAGAAAAAAGAAGAAAAGCCAGGGAAGCACATTGCCTGAGTTTCAGAAAGTGAATTTAAAATGTCAGCAATGCTCTGATCTGTTGTTTGCCTCCTCATTCAGCCCCCAAATGCTAAACAGTCCATCCAACACAGTTTGGAGCTAAAGATGTTTTTAGACATGTTGATGAATTGTTGTCTTCAAATGAAAGACAAACATTACCCAGTGGATGTCTCCGGAAGTGAATCAAGATGGTTTTGTTTCTCCAGCATCTGCAGACATGGCCCACCATGGTGCAGATGCGTCCCCCTCAGAGAGCCTGGATGGTGAAGGAGAGAGCCCTGAAGACAGATACTCGCTGCATCAGAGCCTGGCCGTCAGGGAGCTCATAGACACCGAGGGCTCCTATTTGCACATGCTCCAACTCTGTGCCTCGGACATCAGGAGCCGTCTTCAGCAGGTACTTGAGAGAGGCCACCTACAAGCTGTCTTTACAGGAGCAATGCAGGTCTGCTTCTGAGACCACTTCTGTCTCTGGGGCAGACTTAATGTCAAGAAGTATGAGAAGGGGCCGGGGAGATGGCTCAGTAGGATAAGCGCATGACTGACAAATGCAAGGATCTGAGTTCAATCCCCGGTTCCGCCAAAAAGAAAAAAAGAAAAAAAGAAGTTTAGGGCCGGGGAGATGGCTCAGTGGAATAAGCACTTCCCTGGCAAGTGCAAGGGCCTGAGTTCAATCCCCTGTTCCGTAAAAAAAAAAAAAAAAAAAAAAAAAAAAAAAAGATATTTAAGAAGTATGAGAAGAGTAGAGTCAGCAGATCTGGACAGAACCCTCAGGACTACTTGTTACTAGCTATGCTACCTCCAGCGGGGTCTTATATGACACAGTGTTAGTGTATTCATATAAATAGGGAGAGGAACAATCAAAAATTAAGTGTGTTGGGCTGGGGTGTGGCTCAGTGGGAGAAATCCTGCCTTCATTTATAAGGTGCTGGGTTTGATCTTCATCACTACCAAAAAAAAAAAAAAAAAAGATTTAAAGGGGAACTAGGATATGCCATATACAGGTACACAATCCCTATGATGAATGTGATCATTTTCATATCTAAATTATACCAGTAAACTTAATTATTATTATTTTTCTGTATTTAAGACAGGATCTATAGGGTCTCTCTACATAGATTGGACTCATAGTGATTCCCCTGTTTTCAGCCTCTTAAGCACTGGGATTATAGGTGCATGCCACCATACCCAGTCTCAATCACCATCTCAGCATGCCCCGGGGTGGGGCTGGTACAGCAAGCATGGGATCGAATCCTGGCTGCTGTGCTCTGCCTAAGCAGGCGCTTTAGTCCACTGAGCTATCAGGCTGGCCCAGTAAACTTAACTATTAAAAAAAACCTTAAATGTGCTAATGTTCAAGTCCTTTTCCAGTTTTGAACAGATTATTTAAACTTACCTACATTCAGTATGTTTCATTTGTAGAGTGGTGACATGGAGAGTTTAACTCTCAAGGGTTTTTATTGGTGTTTATTTCTGATGTTTTTTCTGGTTCTAGAGAAATAGAGGCTGTCACTATAAAATTGCAAGGATGTGAGTTTCAGATGGGCAATCCCAGTCCTCACACATAAATACTAGACTTTCAATCACTGATTCTTGAGTGAATGAAATGCCAAAGTAAATAATATAGAAGGTGAAATACCTCCTTCACCCTTCAGAGATTAGGATTTTTCTCTGAGGGCACCAAATGTATGAGCATAGGCTGTTATTTATTTTAGCAAAGCTGAGAACATACTCTAGACATTGTTCTGCAGCTCTGTCTCCCACCTGACTGTGCCTCTGGCTCGTACTTCCATGCCTGAGTGTGTACATAGATGTCCTGCCTCTATTTTCACAGTGGGGTAGCCTGGCTAATAGGGTGTGGAGTTTGGAATGCGTCCTCCGGGAGTGGCGGGAGATGCCAAGCATGTCAGAGTTGGAAAGTAACCACGTTTCCTGCTGTCAAATGACAGATGGGGAAACTGGGAGAAGAAAAGTGACAGTTGGCAACAGGCTTAAGATAAAACCCCAGCTGACCTTTCCTTTCGTGTGGAATATCCATGTCTTCCTCTCTTTTTGTAAAGTAATAAAAATTCCTAATTTGTATGATTTTAAATCCTAATAAGCATTCTACTGGGGCTGTCAGTCTTCCCAAGAATGGTGCACCATGATGGGCTAAGTGTTTGGAGCCACTCTCTGAAGACTACAAATAAAGTCTTCTAACCTGATCCCTATCCGCCTATGTGACTTCTTTGTTCATTTCAGCTGCCACAGGGAGATCTGGATGTCCTGTTCTCCAACATCGATGAGATTGTCCAGGTGAGCACCAGATTTCTGCGAGGTCTGCAGGAGACAGCCTCCAAGGAAGAGGAGCAAGTGCACCTAATTGGTGAGCAAAAGACCTAGTGGTGTTGGTCTTTGCTTCCTGTAGAAATGTCTTCAGCTCATGGTCGCTGTAGAACGGTGGAACTGTCCAGTGTTCTAGGGAAGCACAGCTCAAAGGAAGCCTGGTTTTGGAATCTCTGAAACACAAATGTCAGAGGTGGCTGCAGCCCATAGATACCTGGTCCTCCTGCCCCATCAACTCTCAACATTTTTTTCTTTTTCTTTTTTTTCTTTTTTTTTTTTTTTTGCATAAGGATCAAGTTTAAGACTTGCCAGGCAGGTGCTTATGCCGCTGAGCTATCTTCCCAGCCCCCTCTCAACATTGTTGCATGGGAGATTAAGTCCTCAGCACGTGAACTTTGGGGTACACATTGAAACCGTATACCCTCCTCATCCTTCATCCCTTGTGGTTAGCCAAAAGCAGGCACAAAGCCCCCATGGTGCCGCTTCTCTCTAGTGCAGCTGCAGGCTGGGTTACTACTCTAGCTCCTGCCAGCTCTAGCTATGCAAGGGAATCCCTTTTCCAAAGGATAGCAAAAGCATTTTAAAGGAGTTTTAGACCTCAGGCAAGACTGTTTGAGTAATCTTAACAGACTTTCCCCTTCCCCAAAATGCAAGGACAGGAAGAGGAAAGGACTTTACTTTGATGTGTTGGGTATTCTGTCTCATTCTCTGAGTATTCACCTTCTCTGCCCTTCAGTGACCGAAGCAGTCCTGCTGCAGCCACATTGATGCAAGATAGTTTCTTTGACACATTTGTCCTGCTCCAGGGTCACTTCCACAGGTACCCTGCAGCTGACCTCCAATCACACAACCCTCCCTGGCTGTAGCTTTGGGCTTGTCTTTCCTGCTCGTGTCCTTCCTGGCTCTGGGAGCTTCTCCTGGGAGCTATTTCTGAGGATTGGCTGGCCTGGGGAGGGACATAGTCCTGAAGCACTAATTCTACTGTGGGGACTTTTAATGGGACTGTGCTTTACTGGGCAGCACCTGCTGTGCCCCAAGGGAAGTTGGTTCTGGTCAGAGGCCCAGCCAGTATCTCTGGCAGACAGCTAGACTTCCTGTGGCCCCTGCTTCCTATCTGCCCTGTGTGGTTAATACAGTTCTCTTTACTTTTACTGCTTCCTCCCTGGAAAGCCACCTCCTTTATTATCTTTTTGGGGTTTTTTTTTGGAACCGGGGATTGAACTCAGGCCCTTGCACTTGCCAGGCAAGCTTATTCCACTGAGCTATCTCCTCGGCCCCCGCTTTATTGTCTTTTTGAAACAAGTTATCTCTCTGCAGTTCAGGCTGGCTTAAAGTCACTATGTAGCTGAGTCTGGCCTCAGCCTCAAACTCACAGTGATCCTCCTGTCTCAGACTCCTGAGTGCTGGGATTACAGGTATGCTCCAACACACCTGGCCCCTAGTAACTGTTTCTGTTACTATTTTGTGGAGCTGAGGACTGAACCCAGGGCATTCATGCTAGGGCAAGAGCTGTAGCACTGAGCTACATCCATAGGTGTCCTTAAATTTTTTTGAAATTTAGTACAATGTCTCATTAAGTTTACCAGACTGGTCTTAAACTCAAGATCCTCCTGTTTTAGCCTGTCAGGTAGCTGGGATCACAGTTTTGTTCCACCACACCTTGCCCTGTCACCACTTTTGACCCCTAGTGTATTCATTTATTTATTTAAAAAAATTAAACCATTAATTAATTAATTAATTAATTTGGTATATGGTCTCACTATGCAGCTTGATCTCATAGTGATCCTCTTGTCTCAACCTCCTCAGTACTGGGATTATAGGCTGTGTCACCATACCCAATGTTGGTGGCCAGCACTGTGTGACTGGTGTTACAGGGCCAGTATGGCATGTGGTACTAGGGACTGAACCCAGGTCCTTGCACTTGCCAGGCAGGAGCTTAGACTGCCGAACTATCTCCCTAGCCCTTGATTCCTCATTTAATTGCAACATAAGGCTGATCTTTTTTCTTTTTAATTAATAGGCTTTGTTTTTTACAGCACTCGTAGGCCAAAGGATCAGAGCTGTACTTTTCAGTGGGATGTTTCTTCTTCTCTTTGATTCCTACTGTGTACCTCATTCCCCATTCTTCTCATCCTGTTGCATTCACTTCTTTTTGGCAACCAATCTCCTTCATTTCTGATTGTAAAATATGGAATGCTTCACAAATTTACATGCCACTCTTACACCGGGTTATATAAGCAAATCTTCCCTGTGTTTTTTCACCTTTACCATATGCAGTGCTGAACTTGAGCAGAAATCAGACCCTGGCATCCCTGTTTAAACCCTAGCTCTGCTTCCTGCCACCCTTAGAAAGGAACACCTTGCCACTCCTCCATGTGAGTCCCTGTGTGATGTGACTTCCACTTACCACCTCATTCTTTTCCTTTGTACCTGGCTTGCTTTTCTTCAGCTGCCCTTGCCTTCCTGCTGCTGTCCCTGTGCCCATGTGCTCTCTTGTCTGAGCCTCTGCCTGGAAGTAACACTTCCTTGAGAATTCCCAGGGCTGGTTCCTTCCGTTCTCTGACAGACGTCCAGATCTTCATGGAGACCATCCCCAAATAGAGCTCTCAATGTCCTCTCATTCTGCGTGGCTTTGCTTTAACTCATGTTACTCAAGACACAAGCGGTGGACAGTCATCCCTCAGCACCTGCGGGAGACTGTTCTAGGGTCTTCTCGGACACCAACATCCACCGCTGCTCAAGCTCTTTACATAAATGCCATAGTATTTGTGAAGCCTACAAACAGCTTCCTGCATACTTAACATCATCTCAGTACATGTTTTCAGTACATGATTACATTCCTCGTGGGGAGTTGGTACAAATTTCTAGATTATTTATAATGTGTATTTAATATTATTTTAATATTAATATTAAAATATAAATATTGTCGAGATAGTCATTGTATGTTAATGTGTAGGGAATAATGACTAGAAAGAAAGCTTGTGAGTGGTTGCTACAGACACATTTCTTCCTTTGCCTATTTTTCATCCCTGGTTGGTCGAATCTGTGCATGCAAGATACACAGATAAGGAGGACCAGTTCTATTTATTTATCATCTGTCTACACTGTAAGACTCTCAACTCTCTAAGACAGAGGCATTTTGTTGTTGTTGTTCTTAGATTTCAGCAGAACGCCTGGCACATAATCAATACATAAGCAACTGGCAAATATTTGGTAAATGAATTTACAACAGGTAAGTTACATGTATTGTTGTATCTCATACACGTAGAAACACACACACACACACACACACACACACACACACACCTCTTGGAGGTGAGTCCTAATCTCAGCCCCATTCAGTAGATGAGAATATAGAGGATTGGAGGGGGTCATATATCTCCCCAGGTTACACAACTGGGGAAGTGCTGCCCCAAGATCTGGCTCTAATTCTTTCTAATGCCAGTACCCGCACACATTCATAACTACCCAAACTGGGCTCCATTTGTTTTGGAAACGGAGGGTCCCTGACTCTGCTTACCATCTATGGTTAGTCATAAAGACAGCATGAGTTAATGGCCCTGAGAGTGTTTTTAGGCTCTAAAGCCCTGCCTAGATGCATGCATCCCTGCTGTCGTTTCTGCAATCATAGCTAGCGTTCATAAAGTGTAATACAGGCTGATCATTTCTTGTGGCTACTTTTCTCTCATAGCCGAAACAAAGCACTCAACACCCACATTCAAGGAAGGAAAGGTTTATTTAGCTTCAAGTTTGTGGAGGTTCAGTCCATAATCAGCTGGTGGGGGTGGGCACGGCACATTGGCAACCGAACTGTCCAAGGTGGTGGAGGACAGCAAAGCAGCAAGAGCAAAGAGGGAGCAGAACAAGCCTCTTCTTTCCTCATGTGGAAGTGAGCTACCACCCCCACACGCCCCCAGAGCAGGTGTAGCACGGCGCAATCTCCATGCCCTCCTCTTACACAGGCTCAGGATGAATATGAAGTGAGGATCCCAGTCCCCTGCTGAGTCACTTAGTTAAGCTTCTAGACTCCTCAAGTTGATTCAATGTATCAACCATAACACCACCCTTAACCCTAAAATCTAAAAGCTGCAATGCTCCAAAGTCCTAAACTTTTTGAAGGCTGATTTGATGCTGTAAGTATAAAATTCCACACCAGACCTCATAGAAGGATTCACAGCACAACACAGGTACACTAAATATATGTTATAAAATTACTTGCAGGCTAGGGGCCAGAGGAACACATAACACAGAAATGAACTTTGAGTTTAGTCTTGGGTCCTGTTCCCAAGATATATCATTATGTATGTGTAAATATTCCAAAATCTGAAAAAAGTTTCCAGATGCCGAATGGTTCTGGTCCTAAGGATATTTAACTTGCATGCATAGGTCAGCACCCTGCACTCTACACTATTTTGTGTCTGTCCCTCAGCAATTTATAAAACTGAGACTCCCCACTTGGGCAAGCACGTAAATTCCCCTTTCTTCCTCCATGTGCTTGAGATAGCATGAAAATTGTTTTGAGTTTAAAATATACACATTTTTAATATTAACTTTATTGAGAAAGAAGTAACAACGAAACAGCTTCAAAACAGGCTAGTAAGGACAGTTACAATAGTTAATGCATTGCATAGTGTTGTCTTTATAGTGGTTATTCATGGTACAAGATGCAGACACGGTATCTTGTCTAAACACTATTAGTTCAAAACTTTCTTCTCATTGAACTAAGAGAAAGTAGCTGTATATCTATGCTATTTTGCATATACATATATGTATTTTATTCACTGCAAAATGGTCCTTCATTTATATCTCCCTTTCTGTTTACTTTTGTCAGACATGGGTATTTCATTGCCATTCATATATTGTAGGTGCATGAATTCAGCAAAGTAATCCAATATAGTCCAGTAGTCTATAATAGTAGTGGGTTATATGCAGGACTGGCAATGTCAGAAGTTGTTGACTTGAGCCTTTACAGCT